AAGAATCTAACGAAAAGGCAGAACGTTTGTAATCAGAGAGAGAAGCAGCAGCCACAAACTTGAGGGTTTAAACCGCAGGAATTGGCTTCCACGAATTAATGTGAATATTTAAACGTGTATGTTCTAAAATCCACTTAAACGACCAAAACCTCTTGCAGCAGCAAGTCCTACAGTTTCACATTCGTAGTGTGGAAAAAAAAAAAAGTATTATTTTGTTTTTAAGCTAGGAGGTGTTTTTTTCCTAATCCTGGTGTTTCAAGAAAGCACGAATCATCACTTTCTAGTCAGGGTCTTCATGGTTTAAAGACAACTATAGTCCACCTCCCTCAATTACCTGTTCCCAGGCTGTGAAGCCTGAGTCTTTCTTCGGGCAGAAGATACTCCGGACCCCTGACAACCCTTGCCAGTTGTTCTCATTGAGTTCCACTCAATTTTTGCAGCGGGAAACGCATTCAATATTCACAAACTCAAGGGCCGTAACCGTGGCTGTTAGCTTGGGTTTGGAAGCCTTTGGTTCAAGCTATTTCTTGCTCATTCCTTTCCAAGTTCAGCTGCCTCACACAGTGGCTTTTCTCCTACGTTATGAGGTTTTTTTATGGTGTCCTCTCCCCTTCCCCTGGTGAGTCACCCCAAAATGTATGTTCTCCCATTCCTACAGCCAGTCTTTGGTTGAAAACTCCCCCCGTAGCTTTTACATCTGAAACAGCAGCAATCGACCCAGGGAAGACTATTAAACAACAACACAGAGGATAAAAAAACAATCTGAGCGAAATGCAATTTTCGCCAGAAGAAAGCACCAATCTGCATTCAAATAAAAAAAAAAAGTATTTAGAAGCTAACAGAACAGAAGGAGCTGAACACCAGGATGGTGACTTACTTCTGCAGCATGGCTTGCCACTCGCCTAGTCTGTCTCCTATGGGAAACCGCTTAATGGTGCTCTGAATCTTCGCTCGCCACTCCCTCATGTAGTCCTCGATGTCGAACACAAAAGGCTGCTGCCCAAAGTTGGCATCGACTATCTCTCCGGGAGTCTGGAGACCCACCGTTGGGTAGAGATTCGACTGGGAAGGAAGAAAAAGAAACCTGCATTAAACCCTTTCTCCCTGTGGTTCCAGTTACACGGTTTGGTAAAGACAGAAGAGCGGCTCTTTCAATTGCAAGATGCAACGGGAGGGGGAACAGCCCTTCAGGTGTATCTCCAGGAAGGTCACAACTTATTTATTAGAAGTTATTGCATAAAACGAGAGCAGCGAGTTCAATCCCCCAGCAGCCTGTGACTGATGCCTACGGCGCGTCCGCTTTCTGCAATTTCTACCGAAGTTCAAGAACCAGCAAATAATAATAATAATTAAAAAAAAACCACAAAAGGGGCATCATCTCAATCAACAGATCTATGCGCTCTCCACTGTTTCAGCTGACCTCGCTTATTCCTTGGATGCCGCTGGCTGAATATTTCACATGTCTGACGACACGGGGAGGGATGGTAGTGGAGCTCTGAGGTCAGACCAGCAAGTCATCCACACCAGAAGTGCCACCACTGATGGACAATTTTCATTTTGAACAAGCACATGGATCCAAACAGAAGCCTTGACCCACCACCAGAACACAGGGAAAAGAAAAAGGTTACCGCTGTGAAAACATCTCTAAAATTCAGCCGGTAATTCAGCTTCCAAAGATGATGTAATGGAAAAGAGGTGATTAAGGTCTATCCAGTTCTTCTCTGAATTCAGGCTACTTTAAGATTAAGCTTACGGATACGGATTGAATCCCTGAGCCCGCTTAAATGTGGGGAAATGAGAAATGCCATCAGGAGGGTGCCTGGTTCTCTTCAGTCTGGATGACATTTTCCCTGTCACGTCGCTTTTTCTGCAGCACGAATGACTTTTCTGTTTGCAACACGCCCTTCCCTAACCCTTTCTGCTTCAGATCATCCGCTGGCAGCCTGCGGGAAACCTCTCTCGGGCTGTTTGCCGTTGGGTTTTTTCACTTTGCTCTTAACACTCTGGAGACCGACAACGCCAGAAACCAAACACAGGGATGCAAACAGAGAAACTGGAGTCTCGAAGATGCTTGGCTGCAGCGTCTTGTTTGTGGTCGAACCCATGTCAGATCAGCGGAGAGACCTCTCTCTTGGTCAAATCAATGAGAACTACGACCGATGGTCATCCTTGAAGAGCTAGGACGATCTTCTCCTGCTCTAAAGCAAAGAGTATGAGCTTTCCTACAATTCTCTGCAAAATTTATTCAACTAATTCTTCACTCTTGCAGACACTCGAGACACCGGCAATGTCACTGATCTCCTCTGGAGACCTACTCTAGTTGCAGATTCTTCCACTGAAGTGATTAAAATAGTTACGAGGCAGAATTTGGCAGAATCCTAACAGAGCCAGCATGTCATGGGAAGGAATCACTCCTCTCTGCTTTCACTGGCGTGGCTACATCTGCCTGGTACTGAGCTCGGTTCCTCAGCTCCACATCCCCAGGAGAAGGAAGACGTTGGCAGGCAGGGTCCGGTGGAGCTCTCCTAAGATGCCCCGAGGGCTGGAGAGGCTGAGGGAATGAGCTTGGAGAAGGCAAAAGGGAAAAATCTAAGCGCAAATCTTCCGTTCCCAAAAGGGAGGTGATAAGAAGGATGGAGACGGGTTCATCTTCAAGGGCGTTCAGGGAAAGGACAACAGGAACAAGCTGCAGCCAGGGAAATTTTGGTGGCATGTAAGGAAGAAGCAAGAAAGTCGCTGAGTTTAAGAGGTGTGCGTGGAAAATACAGGGTGATACTGGAAGGAAATGCCGTATTCAACATCAGTCTCTGCTTTCTTCCAAATCTAAGGAACAAGGAAGTATCTCTAGTGAGGGATCCATAGTCCATTCTTTAGAATTTTTTATATTAACTCAACTTTTAAGTATTAGGAACTTCCAAAGCCAGAAATCAGACACCCAAAATACTTGGAGGTTAGAAGTAAAAAACTCCAACATTATTACATATTTTTAGTCACTTTTGGGGTTGTTCACCTTTGAGGGGAAGCTGCCTTCTCTCAAACCACCTCTGAGTTAAAAATTCCTTTTTTTTTATCATGTGTGGGTTGTGTCCTCTCTGTTTAGGAGCTGTTGGGAACTGCACGTATCTCCACCACGCTGCTGGGAGAGCTCATCCCAGAGCCCACCGACCAGGCACATGCTCCTCCTGCCAAGTTCTTCAGGCACATCTTCCCCGTGACATCAGGACCAGCTCTCACCTCTGATGTTGGGGGCCAGTTGCTCACAACCCCCTGGTTCATCTTGATTTTTAACCTTCTCATCATCCCTTTGCAGTCCTGGGCTCTTCCACATTCTGCTTTTTTTTTAAATTTCCAAGAGAGTCAGGTCTAAACATTGACTTAAACTGGTAAAAAAGGGGGAAATTCCCTCTGCGGGATATTCGCTTCTATTTTCAAGCAGTTATTTCTGTGTTAACCTCAGCCAAAACAAAACAACCTGAAGCCAATACGTTTCACCACACGCAAGATTTACCACAACAAAATGTGGTTTTCAACTGACAGGATCCATTCCAACTTCCTAATCTTGTGAATATCGCGAAATATCGTCTTCTTCGTTTGGCTCTGAAAGGAGAATTTTGCAACAAGGATTTCAAGGAAACAATTTCTAGACTGGTGACCTCTGGAAGGCTCAAATCAATTCCTTGTGTAATCTCACTGGCACGCCAACCTTAAAAGTTATTTAAGCTTGAAGGGTCTAAAAGTAACGGGGCTCGCTGGCCAAGCTTCTCACCGATGTGTGCAGTGTTAGCAGGTGCAGAACACAGACAACATCCTATTTCACCGTGGAGGTTTTCTCTTCTTTACCTTATAACGAATGGATATTTCATTTGAGCCTGGATCACAATGTTATAAAAAAAATGAAATACACCATTTGCAAGTTCTATCGATCTCAAATTCCTCACTATCTGAAGACTTGTGCAATCTCTGACAGTACTCATTATATTTAAACTAAAAGTCTCTCTTGGGTTTGGCATCCCCTTCTTCAGGAAACGGCCGTAGCCTCGGCTGTTTGGAAGAATAACCAAGAAGCCATGGATCGAGGGAGCAAAAAAGGCCCGAAAAGGACACGGAATATGTAGGTGTCTGCAAGGGTGAGGGAAAGATATTGGAAAAGGGCACCCACTCTTCTCCTTCCTGGCCCAGAAAACTAGTGTTACGGATTAGCTGCTGCTGTAGAAGCCAGAAGGAGAACTCCGGAGAAAAGAGCGCAGCAAACGGGCTGGTAAAAAGGCCCAGAGGTACCAATTAAGCAGCGGAGACTCCGCCACAAGGCATCTCAACAGCCGATCCCCAAAACCACCTGGCCAGGTCTTCCCCTGGTTTAATAATCCCCCAACATCTCCTCTGCACAGTCGACACGGCCAAACGAGGGCGAGTTCCTGCAAGAACGACCTGGTGAGAGCGAGAAAGAACGGGATGAGGGCACGCCCTGGGCTCGGGAGGGTTTTGAATTCAATCTCGGTGGCACTGCTGCAAGAGCCCTCCCGTGCACCTTCCCCAGCTGTTCCTCTCCTATTTGCAACCCCTAACGGAATAGACATCCAGAAGGAAAACAAAGAGCACCTAAAACTAAAGGGAGTATCGCCAAGGTGTCTTCTTGCCACGGATGCAAGGTTGTCACAAGACCTCACTCCAAAAGGTTAATGCTCACGGACAGGTAGAATATTGTTTCGCTTTAAGAAACTGTGCTTGGACCAAGTGAATAAAGCGCTGTGAAACAAGCTGCATAAAGAGGGCTTCTGGTTTAGAACACATTGCAACAAAACCAAGTTCAAAGGGCCTAGGAACGAAAAAAAAAAGAAGTCGTATTTACAGCTGATGCAAAACGGCAAATTAAATAACTGGAATGTCCTTCAGCACAGACGCTGGCTGGGATATGGGAGAGATCCGTAAAGCTGTAAATTCCCCTGGGAAGGTGAATGAGGAATTATGAAGTTCAAAGGGCCTAGGAACGAAAAAAAAAAAAAGCCGTATTTACAGCTGATGCAAAAAGGCAAATTAAATAACTGGAATATCCTCCAGCACAGACGCTGGCTGAGATATGGGAGAGATCCGTAAAGCTGTAAATCCCCCTGGGAAGGTGAATGGGGAATTATTTCTCACAAGACAAAAATGAGAGGAACAAAATAATTCCTATTTTGGCAGGAAGTGCAAAAGAAGGAAAAGCAAGCTTTCTTCCACACAATGTGGGAGTCAGCCAAGAAAAATGATCACTTTGGAAGCTTCAACATGTTATGGAAACTTAAGAAATTCCTCATTTTGGGGTTATTAAGTACAAAGGCAGGAGTGCAACCTCAACGACAAGCTCCATGCGTGAGAGAAACGGATGCAGGGGATGCATCGGTGTCTGCCTGACCTGACTTTATCTTCTTTTCCTAAACACCTGCTCCTCATCCAGGAACACTTGGGTCTGAAAAAAGAGCAACCCGGTTTCTTTGTTCATGACCCACCGCCAAAGTCGTGCTCTCGTAAGCCCCAGCCAGACGTGATTACCTGGTGTAACTCAGCTGGCATCACTGAATTCAAGAGTAACTCAGCGTTGGTGACTCGGAGGAGCAACTCTGAGCCCCTCACAGACGCCAAATACATTCTTCCAGCAATTCCACGAGCTGGTTTATCACGGGCGGAGGCCGGTCAAAAACCTGCGCAAGGAGCACACACTCTACAGCCAGCTAAGCCTGGCCTTCACCCTCAGAAATAGCCTTCCTTAACCACGCCGTGGAATGGGAACAACCCCACCAGGGCTGCAAAACTTGGACGAGAGAGGAAGAAGCAGAGAATAAAAACAAGCGTCGTTTCAGGGCTCTTCGATGGTGGGACACGAGAAGCTACTCGATGACTCTGCACATTCGCCTCCTCACAGTGGAAGCTATGTTTGGAAGAGATCGACCTGTAACGACGTTTGAATTCTCGTTGTAATTCCAGGAGAAGGAGCAACATACTTGTAGAGGTGGCGAGGGATGCGAGGAGGCACGCGAGTAGCTCACAAACCCGGCCATGGGATCACGAAGTTACAGAAGACGGAGCGTCCGCATCGCTCAGGAACGCGCGTTGCCATTTTTTAACAGGGCATCACACAGGAAAAAAAGGGAAAAAACCCCCAAAAAATCACACCCCCCCAGTCTTCCCCCTCCCTTCTGTTTGCATCCTTAGTTAAAATACTGAAAAGAGGTGTACTTACAGGGAGGTCTGTAAAGGCTATACCTGTAGGGGGAAAAATATTAGAATTAAAAAGACAAAGGATTTTTTTTCCCTGCTTGGTTACATCCTTTACGCGCTACAAAACGTTCCTGCTTTTCAACGAACCCCAGCTCCGACCCTCACCGCCTGTCGTACTCAGAAGTAAATTCCCTCCCCAGTCCCCTCCTCTGCAAGGTTTTGCATCTGGAGGAAGGTTCAGGGACAAAAGTCGAAACACTTCAGACATCTCCCCCCCAAAAATCTGATTTCCTAAAAAGCAGCTCCTCTTTTCTTTGCTTCTCCCTTTATCACTGTGAAGGAGTTGGTTTTCAAGATTCACTTTGGCTTTAGAAACAAGAGTTTCACTACAACGTTGCTTCATTTTCAGGCTGTAATTAGTTCTCCTGAAAGCCAGAGGGACAGAAATGACAGCAGCTCCACCCCACGGGTTTTGGGTCACCCTCCCCACCCGCGTTCACCTCACTGATCTGAGCTTAATTCAGAATTTAAGCTAACATTTTGGGAGTTAAACTGGAAGCTGGAGTCTTGTCCCAGAGGAAGGCTGGTACCCACACCAGTATGCCCAGTTCTTCCACAGCCACGTGGCACGTCCCTTCTGGGTGGCAGTGAAACAGCTGCGCAGAAGCGAGAGCGGCGTTAGGATTATTTTAACCAAGAGCTGCAACGGAACGTTACCAGATCAGCCCGAAATGGTAATTTGAACTGATTTGAGGAGTCGACACACAAAACGAGTTGTAACAGTGCAGATTGAAAATCAAATGCTCGGTGAGGGAGAAAAAATCCTGATTATTTTATTCAATAAATAGGCAATAATGCTTAATTAACGCCCTGGAAGATGGTAAATATGGTTTAATTAACATCATGGCCTCGTCTGTTGAGCACTCTCTCTACAACTTGACCAGAAGTCGTGTTAACATGTCGAATACGTGGTTGAGCAAAACATCCAGTGAGCATTTCTCTCAGCCCGGCACTTTGCCCAGATATTGTTCCTTCCTCAAACCTGGTTTCCGCTCAGCTGGACGAAAGCTCGTTTCTACCCTTCCACCCAAACGAGGCCGACCTCTTCACGCCTGCGGCCCAGCGGAGTCCTCCTCTGTCACCCAGGACCGCGGTGGCCCAGCTCCCGCACGACAACTTGGGGAGTCGTCGGGAGCTGCACCCAGCAAACGAGTTTTTGAGTGGACTGCAAGGTGGGAGGAATATTGGCTCGACTATCGGGATCAGCAGCAAAAAGTCCCTCACAGTTTAACGTGTTCGCTAACGACCTGGATGACAGATGTTACCAAACAGGAAAAGACCTCAACAACGGGCTGGAGAAACCATCGAGTGCAAACCTCAACAAAGAGCGTTTCCACCAGGTTGGAATATTCCCAGAAAACAGGAGAGGCTGGGGCTGACGGGAGAGAAGGCAGATCTGCAAAGAAAAAGGATGGAGCAGGTGCTGCTGGGCGACACGGAGAGTCCGTGGTGGGTCCTTGCGGCGAAGCGGGTCAAGCACAGTCTGAGCTGTATGAGTAAGAGCGTAGGGTAAAAGAAGGGATTGCTCCCTTCTCTTCAACACCCCGGAGTCTAAACTCGGAGCGTGGTGTCCACTTTCAGGCTCTCCAATACAAGACACGCAGCGAGATTAGAGTGAGTCCAGCAGAAGGCAACACGATGAAGACAGGTGAAGGGTTTTTCAGTCTTAAGAACATCAGGGAAGACATTTATTGCTGCCTAAAACTAACTTATAGAAGGATAGAGAAAAGGCAGAGATAGACTTTCCCGGGGAAAGTCTATCTCTGCCTTTTCTCTATCCTTCCATAAGAGAGACAGGAGGCAACAGAGACGAGTTGCAACATTTTGGTTACATAGTAGGTGGGAAACATTCAGTATGAATGAAAGGCTGAAGTAGGGGACCAGAAAAACCACCTTAGGGACCTCCGTTCCTGAAGACTTGACCAGTTTCTAAGTAACACCATCTAGCTGCTCTTGCTTTCAGCAAGGCATTGGGCGTGTGACCTCCAGAGATCCCTCCTGACAAAAATTACCGCATGATTCTACAAATAAACTTATTGCATTGCTTTTAAATTAAGGCACTTGTAGGTTTGGCACCCTCTGTTACAGGCCAATAAAACGTTTTATGCCTCCAGAACCGGATTTGTAGCACGATGATGTCTGCTCGGGGAGTTCATCCTGAATCTGCTACACCCGTTCAAGGTCTTCTGTTGACACAAAGTCAACAGCAGAAAGCGAAAGAATCACAGCTCCAACTAGGCAGCTGAATTTGAAACTGCATTCTTTCTCTGCAGCACCTCCAAGTTAAAGTAACAAACTTCATCTCAGACTTAAGAACTGGACAGCTCAAGAGGAAGCAAGAGCATGAAGAGCTTCTCCCGTTAAGTCCATGACATTAATGTGATCATCAAGGCAGTGATATAAAGACATTAAATGAAGTTTCAGTGCTGGGCGACAGCGCGATTGACACCTTGACCTAACATCTAACCTTCCACCTTGCCGTGCCTAACGTGTTTAAACATGTCCCCACGCATACAACAGGCTGGCGGACCTTCTATCTCAACTCAGCTCTCCACCCAGCAAAAATCATCCTGCCTGCCTCACCGCTGGCTGTTTTCCTTCACACGTTACCTTTCAGAATTCCATTTGCACAAGGCAACACATGTTTGGGTGAGCAGCCACGTTTCCTAGACGGCAGGGAACTCCCTTGGCACCCGTTTAGGTAACCATAATTGAGAACTGCCTAAGCAGGGCTGACAGACTGCAACACATTCAGCATCCGAACGAGTAGACTAGGAAGAGTCAGCCCATGAAATAGCTGAACACCTCAGGAGCTTGCTGCTCCTCCGAGGAGAAGCACTATCAAACCCACACCGCTCTACGCGCTCTTGGAAACCATCATCCTCCAGTCAAGCCACTTGGGCAAAACCGTTCTCATCGAGAAACAAGGCTGGAGCCAAGTGGGATATTTTCCATTCGTTTTAAATTTGGCTCATCTAAAGTCTTGTTTTAAACCTCCCCGAGGTGCTTGCTCTCTGCAAACTTCATCTGAAGGTCTGGGGACAAACCTTTTAAACCTGAGATGGGCACCTGTGGATCTCTATGACAGGCAGATTTCTTCATTATCCCTAATGTTCCCATTAGTCTCTAAACTGGTTGTATTTTACATAACTGGTTAATTTGGCTTTTCCAAGTCCCTGCACTAGAACTCAGACTACAAGGATTTTTCTACGCCAAGACTTGCATGCTCTTTTCATAGCCCTGCTGCTTCACTTCCCTTGGTCTGCTGTCAAAGTCTGAGAACTGAAATACTCCTACCTTAGTCCCTGAGCAAACTCATCCACTTACCCCCAGTGACCTACAGCAGTCCCAGCCCCTCGTCACGTCCAAGACTCTCTGCTTGACGGCTGGAGCCCCAACATTCTTCCCATTTCTCCCTTCTTCTCTCCTAATGCACCCTCACCACACTTCCAGCCACATCTCGTCACGGTTTTTACTGCCAGGACTCTGCTCAGAACTGGTCAAAAGCGTTTCCACAGCAATTCAAGGCATTTTCCAGAAAGTAGAATTAAGACTACATACAATGTCAACCCGTTTTCACGTGACGTCTCCGATCGAAGTTCAACACTTGGCTCCAACCACAACATCCAGCATTTGTGATGGCCAAGAAAAGAGCTCTTATGCAGTGCTCCTGATGGATCTGACTGAATGGAGAAGTATGGAGACAATGGAAAATCACAGTTAAGCAACAGGAGAAACTGCAAGCACACCAAAAAGGGGAGGAGCTGTCTAATTAACAGATGAAAAGGAGAGGGCTGAAATGCAGAGAGAGAAATGGCGAGGAGAGAATATC